ATTTCGGTACAATATTTATATTAGAAATTCTATAAAATAATATTTTTGTACATTTAGTTATTACTTATTATAAAATAATAGACTAATAGATATTATATGATATAGCTGATATAGGTACTTTGCAATATTATGGTATGTGTTTTCTATACATATATATTTTCTACTTYAAAGATAACAACATGAAATAATAAATAACCACCAATAATTATTGAGTAAAATGAATAGGTAGTAATTAGTAATTAATATTGAGTTAATTCATTTTAATAAGTAACTAAGTTACATTATTGAAAGATTCAGTTAGTAGTTAATAGTTAATACCAACAATTTATTTTACCTTTAAAGTTAATGATAGGTCAGTTCCTACTATATAATATTAAAGCAAATAACATAAGTTTGATATCAATWAAAGCAAAATATATACTATGTTGAACGTATGGAGTACTTCCTTAATACTTATCTTCTTACCATTTTAACTAGATTTTTTTTCTCTTACTAAACCACAAGACTCCAAGTGATCTACATCAAGTTAAAGTTAGTTATTGTGAGGTTTTTCTTATACAATTATTGAAAGAGTGTTCACRGTATTTAAGTGATGAAAGTTGGGAACAATTCAATTTTCTTTAACTTTATTTTAATAATACAATTATTTAGAAAATAAATTTCAAATTTTCCGTTTTCGTATCTTTATTCTTTATAAAGGAAAACCAAAATTTGAAAAAATTATAACAACGAAACCAATTTATTGTAGGAAAGGAAAATAAAAATAAACACGCTGGAAATGATAACAGATATCTTATCTTCTTAAGAGGATCTCAGTGTAATCACAGAATAATATTTGAAAAAAAAAGCGGCGCAATATTTATTTTATTTCTCTTACCCACGCGCAACATGGATAAAACGTTTTCACCATTTTTATTTTTTTATGATTTTTATTTTTGAGTAATCTTGGAGTAAAATCACATATTACAAAATTCATAGACGTTAATATATTATTGAGGTTTGATATGTTGGGTTTATATTTTCAAACTTAAATATAAAAATATTATCTGTGATCTCTCGTTGGTTTTTACGATATTTTAATTCTTAAGTGAATCATATGAATTTTCAAATATTAATATTTTATTATTTACATACTCATAACTTAAATGCAAAATTGCCAACTTCGTGATACAAGAAATTATTATTAAGTGCTCAGCGTGCTCACTAWAGCATAAATTAATTTTAAATTAATCCAAATCAAGTATTGGACTATATACATAATACATTTTGAAACATTTTAATACTCTTGGTAAGATATTATGGACTTTAAACTTTTTTATTGGTATACAGGTACGATTATTAATACTTATAACTTATTACTTGAAAGTTGAAATAGTATGTCGATGACATTTGCTTTTTTTCCTTTTAATCCTATATAATGCTAATCAAGCTATGCATTTGTTTCATACTTTATTTTTT